TGTTGGACAACAAGAAGGCTGACATCAGAATCAGGTATCATGCTGCCAGCCAGTCAGTCCTGACCCATTTCCACATAAAGTGGGCCATGGAAACTGGAGAACAGCCAGTACAGCAGAAAACCTCCAGGGGTATTTTGCATAGGACTATGCAAATTCTTCACAAAGCTGAGGACTCGAGATCTGAACAATTTGCTTATCAACTTCCACCAGCACCAAAGATGATATAACTAACCTTGGAAGACAGCATGTTATTCTGAACAATATTGCTGAACAAGGAGTTGAATAAAATCAATTACTTGCTCCAGGGACTTTTAAGACATATGTTTCCTTAATTTTTGTCAGATATGCAGGTCAACAAAAAGGAAGATTGATTTCTGGATAAACAGAATTACTRTGATGTTAAAATGTGGCATGAAAAGAGAAATTGTGAATGAAAGCATTTTAATGCTCATTGGAGTGAAATTATGGGAATATTCAGGAAATGCTTGGAATCYAGAAACTGTCCACTCATCTGTCCATCAATGGCATCATGTAACAACCTCTCCAGCCTAAAGCTCTTATCATTTACACCTTGCTGATCAGGATGCATTCCTTCTTGTCCAACAATACATTTGTATTGATTAWTGTAATATAATGACCATGTTGGTTGCATCAGCAATGTTAAAATAAATTGATTTTAGCTGAAAAAGTCAAGTCAGTCTTATTTTTTCTGACCCAGYGCTGTCATCTCATCTGCTCACATGTTGAGCCCCAAACTGGCCCTCAGCATCCAAAAAGCAGAGTAACCCCAGCCTTATCCCTGTAGAGAATCAGGGAGGAAAAATAACATGTTTTCACTGTGAAACAGGCTCACTTCTGTAGTGTCAAACTACTTCCCAGCAGTGTCTAAGACAACGCAACTAACAATCATCATTTGTTGTTTCCTCCAGGAGAGAAATTTGTGCCATTTCCTGGCGAGCTTTGGTCTGTTCTGTGCTAGATTTTTTTTTCAGGCTTTTGTGGGGAAGAGTGAAATAGCTTATGTCTTAGGATTTGGGATTTTTTTAGTGTTTCATGAGAGGAGATACAGGAATCAAGAAAATATCACCTTGCCCATAAAAAGACTGGTTGAGATCTGCAGAAGTGGTCAGCTCTCGGCAGAAATTGCATATAAGCTTCTTTCCCTTCAAGTCCTTTTCCACAAACACTGGCTAGGAAATCTGCACTTCCAGCATCAATCTGTCTATATTGGTACATCAAATAAAGCCAGGCGTCTACTCCCTACCCTACCGAGTAACAGAGCAAARAGCCAGTAAGATATACTCAATAAGCCACTCAAATGTAGGAGCTCAAAGCCATTTGTTGTGCTTTGTCCCTTCCCTCCTCRGTCCCCTCTGTAGCACACATAAATCAACAGTGACAGTGGCAGCATTATTTCTTCTATGCCTTCCCTTCCCACCCCTTGCTCCCTCCCAAATTCTTACTCCTCCATCAGTAGATGAGCTGTTATACAGCTCTTTATACAGATATATATGTGTGTGTATGTGTGTGTATATATATATATATATAGGCATTGAGTATGGAAGCTTGTTTACATAGAATGCATATGTTATTCACTTTTATGTTCTAGTTTAAATTTCTAGTAGCAAATTCTATAAAAAAAAAAGGAAAAGCAGAATACCAAAGCTCTTCCAGACATGTGCAAACAATGAATTACATTCAATTCCTCAAAGAATAACTTACTCAGTAAAACATAATAACAAAATGTCTAGTGGCTTCTTAATTTAGTCTTAACCAATGATTCCCCACTAGTTATTTCAAAATTTTACTGCTCCTTTTTTTCAAGATGCTCATGATTTTCTAGCAGGATGGCAAAGACTTACCAAAGCGCTCATCAGTGAAGTTTGTCTCACTGTATTTTCCTATTGTATTCCCATTGTCATTTATGTTTAACATTGGAAACAGATTGTTAAGCAATTTCTTGCTTGCATTGTCACAGATTATCACAGACAATGCAAGCCAAGTTCTCAGGAAAGAACTAAGTATACGGAACAGATAATGAATAATCTGTCTAGACAAGAGATGCAACGACACTGTTCCTCTTCTCTCAGTTCTGCCAGCTGCTAACAGCTTTGATAGCAATTTGAATACTTGTTAATGCCTACACCTCTTACATTAAGAAACAAAAATAATTAGCTTTGTCTAAACCAAGAGAAAACTTAAGTTCTACCAACATCGATTTAAGGATTAAATCCCTGTTCTACTGATAGGTTATAATGGTAAGCAAAGCAAAGGTTTGTTTCACATTCTTATCTGGCACACAGATAAATCAGAAAGCCTTGGGTAAAACGTGACACTCACCTGGTGCAACTTTTGCCAAAATTCAGGTCCATCCTCCATTTTTCTTAAGCTTGGTGGAATGTACCAAAAGCAGACGTTTGCATACTCGGGCTAAACAAGAGAACAAGTGATTGCTTATAAGATGTAACAAATGGGWCAGGGATACATATTATAGATTATCAGAGAGTTCTGCTTTAATTTTGGGGTCAGAAGCCTTTGAGTTTATACCCTTTTCTTTAAAGTTTCCTTCTCCAAGTCACTTTTTTATTGAAACTAGAAAGAATTTTTCATATCATACATTTTTTTCCAAGTCACCTTTTTTTCCCTTTTTTTCTGAAACTACAGTAATTTTTCATATCATCCATTTCTCTTCCTTTTGCCAGGCATTCCTTTTTAATTTCTTCTTCCTATATCCATATTTAACTCTGTTTTACTCACTAAAAAGCTTTGGATAGAAAAATTATAAAAGAGGCAGAGAAAGGTAACTTACAGAATTCATATTTGAAGTAACTTTAAAGAGTATATTTTCTTTTTAATGTTTTGGGGTTTTTTAATAGAATTTTCCTATTATGCCTTTTATACAAAACACACAGACTCCATTTTTGTGACCATTTAACACTTGCACATCTGGTCATCTTTCTACTGAACAATGGCAGCCTCCTTTCATATCATAAAGCATATTGTACCGTGCTGGAGTTAATGCTCTCAATTTCCAAATTTTATAAGAATCTCAAGACCCCTTGCAGGGTATGCACCATATTCTGAATGTATCTTGTCTAATATCTAAGCAGGCCTTTTGAGCAAAGGCTGAGCCTCCACATCTCTGCTTCTCTCCAGGGAAATTTTGCCTTTAAACTCAGCAGAGCTCCCAGCAAAAGCGGCTGTTCACCATGCATTACAAAATAAGGCATTTTGTGCTTCTCAGGTTTCTGCATCATATATGATTGAGAAAATGTTCCCAGCAGGCCAGTCCAGGGTCTCTATACATTTCCTTCTAATTTGGAACTTGTATTTTTTTTTGTTTACCTCTGTTGAGAACAATAATAAGAGGAATAGCTACACCTTCTAATCCCATCCAACACAAGCCATAAATCACTAAGCCCATCCTGACCTACAYTATTTGCGGCACAGTATTCAGATGGCATCTAGATTATAGTACGGGTTGTGATAGTCAGGATTATGAACTCACACATCCCTCTCCTCTCCCACATGCYATCCTCATTAGCACTAGCTGAAAGGGAAAAAACAATGTTAGAAGGGAGTTTGGCAGCTGAGTCACACCATCTCTTCGCCCCACTGTGGATGTGGCTGCTATTATAATCCCAGGCAGTCTCCTGAACGAGGAGAGCCCACCAGCTGAGCCATGTTCTTTCATGAAAGGCCACTGAGAGCTGCTCATATCATTTTCCGCTTCACTTCAAAGAATGCATTAAATACAATTTAATCATCAAGAAGAATATCATTGTCAGCAGGAACTGAGCTGCAAGCCTGCCCTGTGCAGCCACTGAACAGAATAAAAATCAGTTCTTCAAGTCCCATTTCTTTCCCCAAAGAGCRTGCATTGCGTACACGCGTAAACACAGACCCTGACAAGGCAGTGCCTTCCCCAAAAGCACAAGCACAACGTTACAGGGTTTATTGTAAAACTATTTGAAATCAGACGGCAGGAGCAGACAGATGGCATGTATTACCATATTGCCTATGTTGCCTTCTTGATTATCTCAGTTTCCTTTCACAYATCAAATACCTCATTGCCCTCTGAAAATACCATTCATCCTAGAAAACTACCCGCAGCCATGCTTCGCACTCTGTTTCTGGTTGTCTTGTCATGGATTGTACCCAATCAGTTAAGCAATTTCACCAGTGAGGAGTTCAAGATGACTTGGGCACAAGTGGCATTTCCAGGCCACAGAGCAATTCTCATTTTGGGTTTTTCCTCACTGCATGTATCAGAGGATCATCTYCCTAASCTTTTTGTCTGAARCCCARCTTYCCTTCAGAAAGGGCTCACATAGCTGGGCCTCGCTGCCTCACAAGAGCCTTTCTTTGAATTCTCATTGCTCACCCCGCTGCATTCCTGACAAGGTTCTTAACCCTTTTAACKTCTCAACTCAACTTCTCAGCTCTTAGAAGAACTCATAGAAGTCAAGAAGCTCAACTTCTTTCTAACAGTCCATACTACAGCTATCCCTTCAAACCCACTTTTAATCCAGGTGTCCCATTCCTGCAGGAACTATGCAGCAGCCTCTGCTCTTACCAAGAGCGTTCACCTCTGCAGGAGATCTGGGCTCTCTGCTAAGATCTACAGCAGCAAGAAATGGACAGCTCTTAACAGAGCTTGCCACTTTACTAATCCCATCCTGTGCTGCTGGCCTAAAATTATTCAGCTGATCAGATGATCAGCTTTCAAAGCTAAAGAGAAAGTTTGCATTATATAAATAGTACAAAATATTTTTCATATTTTGTATTTTGTCTAGACTAACCTGGAGCACTCATGGTAGCAYTTACTCTGCATCCCATCCTTCTCCATGTACTCTCGTCCTCCTGATCCCACATACCAAGCTGTCCTTCRTGCAAGTACACTCCCAACAATGCAAAAGGTGTTTATAAAAATGACAGGTCTTTGTAACACTCTGAGATATCAGCCTTGTTAAGAGAAGAGCTGAGGACAGGTGGAAAAACTATTCCCTTTACTCACTCTCCCCCAAGTAAGATCACCAAACAGGAAATCAGCTGCCAGGTTCAGTAAAGACAAGTGAAACATGCAGCTTTTGGGTAGTTTTTAGGAAGATGGGAGTTGAAACAGAATTAAGGAAAAACTGTGGACTTTAACAACAAAAGGCCCATTTTTGGGAACAAACTTTTTCCATCCAGCACACAGCCTTATCTGTTAGTCTGACAAGCACTGCTTTTTTATAGCCACCCTCTTCACTCTCACAAAAAAGTGCTCCCTCTCCAACCCCTGAGGCAATACAGTACCAGAAGCTAGGAAAATAGAGAGATGTTTGGGAATACAGCACGTGTTGAGTCATATCAGTGGATCTCCAATACATAAACTTACTAGATTATGTACTTTAAATACAAATCGGTATTGGCTAAAAAGAACAAAATCAAAYAATGGATACTTCCTAACAATAAAAAGAGTTCAATTCCCTTTTCACTTACCTCTAAAAGAAGCTGAAATCCCTCTCTTTTTTTAATTTCCTCCACTAGATATCTGCAATTAAAAAATCAGGAGTTTAAAGCATAGAACAAAACAACACAGACAACAATAAAAAGAAAGGTCTTAAACATGTGTTTCTTTTTCCTTTTTTTCCCCCCACACTAAGCAAACAACAGAGTTAAACCTCATTTCTACCTGCTGTGAAAATGCAATAGCTATCAGTTCCTGGAAACAAAAGAATGCTACAGCMAGCCAAGGAGCAGTGAGGAGAAGCCAAATTCTGTCCTCAGGCACAGATTTTCAGCAGAGCCACATGGCACAAATTGATCCTATTTGCATCAGGTTGTGAACTTTCCCAGTGCAAATTTCCACAGATGCTGCTCTTTAATACCTCCATCCCTTGTTCTCAAGTGCTGATGCTGTGCTGCCATGTTATTTCATGGTCACCCTGACACCTCTTGCATTCTGCTATCACCRGGATCTCTTTGTTTAGCCCAGAATTTAAAAGTTTGAACATAGTTCAAGCTCAAAAATTTTCTCACTACTGTCCACATTCCACACTGTACACAGCAGTGCACCTTTCCATTCAGTGAGCCACTGTTTATGCACAACAATCCTGGGACTTCCTATACTAACAACGTATTGAAATGCAAATTTCTTTTCTTTCTCACCTGTCCAGCATGAAAAACTCAAAAATATTCAATGGAAAGACAGGTTTGTATCAAAATTTTTTACACAAACAGCTTCAATTCGCAGAAATATTTTAAAACATGATCGCAACTTTGCCTTGGCACACATCACACAGGAATTCTGAAGCAAAGAGGAAGATAGGACTTCTCTCTTTCTTYTCCTCCCCTCAAGCCTTCAAAAGAAAAATTTCAAAGAATTCACCTCAAATTCATGCTGTCTTTCCATTCCAACAAAATTTTAGTCTTCTACATGAAGATACTGCTGTCTAATGTTAGTAAACCCGACATAGCTGAACTACTGATTGTGCACAAACCTGTTCTTCTCTTACATTCACTATTTGGCATTTTCCTGCCTGAAGCTGCATCACTGGTCACCACACTAGTAAKTCTTTCAGTTGAGAAAGAGAAATATTGTGAAAATAACCTCCCTTGGTCCTTCCCACACATCTGAAACTTGCCCCCACAGGGACACTGCTAGCACAGTTGTCTCTGTGACGCCTTCTCTTCAGCAGACGTGCTGCAGAAGCAGTCTGGCTGGGGAAGCAATAAACAATACCCTAGATGGCACACATTTTTCAAAGCAGTGCCTGGGGAGTTGTCACGCTGTTTATCATTAACAAGTGCTGTGCCTGTGACTCATCACCTCCCATGGCACATCCCAGCAAAGCCATCGCTGCGGTGAGGGGCCACGGGTGAGGAGTCTCCTCTCRCTGCAACAAGTCACAGTTCTGGTTATTTCTGCCATGACCATTCAGATCCTCCTGGGTGCATTYGTTTGTTATCAGGCTGTCATTGCCCACACTGCTGTTTAGGTTGAAAGAGAGGCMTGATGAAAGGTATATGTCATATCAGCAGATAGCATGTCAGCATGTTAGGGGGAAYCTGAATCTGTAGGGTAATTATCTTAGGTAAAATAAGCTTGCTGCTTTTGTCCTGTTTACTTGTCTGTGCCRTGAAACCAATATTTAGCAACATCAACAGGTTATTGTTGAAGGCAGTGGCCTTCCATCTATTTTTTTTCTTTAATAAATTATGAAAAATAAGCCTCTGTGTCATCTCTGTTTTTTTCTAAGGTCTTCAATTGTTAGAGCAATTTTGCAATGCTTAATACTTTTCCCTCTTACTATATGTGCATTTATTTTATGCCACCTAAGTATAAAACCTGACATAGGCTACCTGATGTCAGTCGGGTTCACAACACTGTTAATCATGTTCTTAACTACACTCCCAATAACCTAGGAAGGCAGCCATTAGAAAATCCATCTCCCRTGATTTATCTTGCCAGGATCGTTTGATAGCAGTGGAGCAATTTACTTTGTGCATCTTTCTGCAGTTGACAGTGAAGTTTTATTATCGTGTCACAGTCGTAGCATGTTAGAAGGGCTTGAGTCTTAGTGAAGACCAAAGTACACAGAGAAATGTCATTTGCTATGATTAAGCTTTGCAGAAAATGAGGGGTGGAGATAGGCAGTGAAAGTAGACATATGTCTGCTAACAGTGGGTGTCAGAAGAGGAAACAGGCAGAAAAACTCCGAAGAAGATGAAGTATAAAATACAGAGGTGCTTATACAATAACTGTAGTTGTATTCTAAAAGCAGTTTACTTCTGTTTTCTTTTTAGAAACAATATCCCTGCATCAAAAATAATTGGGGGTAAGAAAATAAGCAAAAAAAATCAGAAGCAATCAGCTCTACTCTAGGTATTTTAAAGGCAAGCCCTTCCAAATAGATAGCATCACAATGTTCCTGGGATATTTAATACCCTGAAAGAATGATTCATCTCCAGAACAAGAAGACATTACTGGAATAGCCAATAGGCAAGGTTTGCTGCATCAGAATTACATGCCTGCAATTACCCTAAAACATTTGCAGCTCTGCTTGGCTACAAGAAAAAAAGAAAAAGCAATCTTGCCCTTAAATTCTATAGTCAGTGGACTAATTCCAGAATTAATCTAGGTCTGTGTTCAGGAACACTGAAATACTACCCTTGCAATTTAAGGAACACCTAATGTAGCAAATGAGGAGAAAGGCTGCACAGCTGCACAGTGAGTAGTTTGTAAACCTGGTACRGTGCCCATGTCTGTGCAAACTCAAGATGGCAATGCCACTACTGTGAAGAATCTATTTAATCAGATAATGTCTAAAAATTAAATTTCTTCCTAATGGAAAAACAAACCAAAAACCAGAAGAGACAAGCCAGTCTCTCCTTAGAAGTGTTACCAACTGAATCTGAAAGTTAAACAGAAATATCGATCCCAGAAAGGTCATTAATCACTCCACAGTCAGTCAAATGACCTTGGCCAGTGACCTTGATAAGGCTGAATTCCCCTACTGATAGTGGGAAGAATTACTTACTCTGAACAGACAAAGAACAGTACAATGCTTCAGAACAAAAAAAGGTCCAATTTCATCAGAAGATATTAAAAAACACAAAACTRGCCCAAAAATGAGTGGCTTTAAAGAAATAAAATTGAGAAAAAGTCACAGCTTTTCTGAGCTTTTGGTTCTTTCTTTTTATTCCTTTTGAATCCACTCTGGGTTTAGGTCAGGGTATTTTTATTTTTTTCTATAAGTAACTCCATTAGAGTGAGACTGTTCCTTTAATTTTCATTGAAGAAAACATTCAACTTTTTTTCTATTTGTTATTTCATATTAAAAGTAAAATGTCAATATCAATGATTTGACTTAAGGCAGAGTATAAGTAGTTTGGTAAAGTTGTCATTGTTGTTTGTCTTGTATAAATTCTGAACAAACATTTTACTTAAAGTGAACATTTTTTAATGGGCCATCATCTTATTTCAAAATTATTCCTTCTAAGAGAAAATCACCTGTGTGTGGGAGTTTTTTTCCCAGAAAACGAGGCATCCCCATCACTCTATAAACACCTACCAAGCATTTTGCTGAATTCACTTGAGAAACTGAGTTCTGTGAGACCAAAAACCTAGTGAAATTGAAGAGGACAGGTGTGGGGAAAATCACAAGAAAAAGGTGTTTCAGTCCCTAACAGAACATACCGTAAACATTAAGAACTTCAGCAAACTTGTGGAGAAAAATGACTCAGTATGTCAGAACAATATTGCTTTCATTCACCTCTAGTAGATCCTAACATTAACACAGTGTCCTCATATGACATCTCCATGATCAGATTTTTGCATTCATGAGGAATGACATGAACAGAAAAATTGCTTCATGCCAGACACAGCCCAGATTCTGGCACATAGGACTTCATTTACACCAACACCAGAAYGCACAGTTGAGCTAAAAAGAGGCGTTTTGGTAAATCTGTCCCATGCCTAGATTTGCAAATGATTATGTCAGATAACAAATCTTCCACAACAGAGATTGATAGCCTAATTTTGACTTGTAGGTTTACCAGCATCTGTGCTTTTGCTAAAAGCAATAATTACAATTAAATATTGTCGCAAATGTAATAACACTCATTATTATTGTTATTAGTTCCTCCTATTAAAGAGAGAAGGGAAATGTATCAATGGGGTCTGTTCCAAGATATGGATTATCAGCAGTGCCAACATTTCAGCCAATCAAACAGACCAGACATGCTCAAACTGTGAGGTGRTACCTTGCCAAAGCCAGTGCTCTGTTTACTCTCTCCTCAAGGCCTGTCGTGCCCAGTGCTTTCCACATCAGCCAGAATTTGAAWGCGTCCGGACGTCTGCTGCACTGAATGGACTTGTCACCAGTGTCGTAGCTGACATCGTAGAACTTGTCCTGCTGGAACAGGTACGCAGCCTCAGCAGAGTAACATTTCTTCAGGAGGCCCTGTGAGAAACACAACAGAYACTCAGATTGATGATAAGCACTTTCAAAGTGCTTCACAAGCCAAAGCCTTTCTTCTCCTSTCTGTATCAAATGCTTGTTAAAACACATCTGGATATGCAGAATATCATCCAAAGCTTATGGTGTGGTTTAAAAAATCCGGGTAAACCTTAACTCAGTAAAGTCAGCACTGACAACCAAGAAACGTATTTTATTTTCTTCATAATGTCATGGAAGAGCAGCAGGTGGAAAGGAGTATTGACTCAGATCTCAAGAAACCATGGGAGTGGGTAGCCCCAGAAAGAGTTGCCCTAAATCATATATGGATGGGAAAGAGGGAGAACACACCYATGTCCACTCTTCCAGTCTTTAGATCACAGAATCACAGAATATTCYAWGTTGGRAGGGACCCACAAGGATCATCAATTCCAACCCAAGTGAATGGCCCATAAAGGGAGTGAACCCACAATCTTGGCATTGTCAGCACCATGATCAAGGACAGTCCCTGAGRAACTTCCTACACGTTCACAAATGGMTCAATCTGTTCCTGCTTTGGTTAGTTGCAGTCAGGGAAAATTTTAGCCTCAAAAAATAAATGCTTAGCCCTTACCCAAATAATCACTGTGGATTTAGGATAGGCTATCTGACTGAGTGGAAAAACCTCAAAGAGATTAGTACAAACCAATTTTTTTCATTTTCATAATTCAGACAAATGCGACATTTGAAAATAAACTTCAGAAAATATACTTTCACATATGTTAATCATGGTTTATTAATAAAATATTTTTATTCAGCAATTTCCAGCCTCCAGCTTCTGCAGGGCAGCCTGGGCAGAGATGAGCAGCAGAAAACAGACAAAGATTAATGAGTAGTGTGGCAAGTTCCAGCAGAGAGCAAGGCTGGCAAACAGAAAGCAGAGAGGCTGTTACAGGTTTAAAGGTGCAGARGAAGAGATGAGACATAGGACCAGTCACTGGCTGAAGAATGAAATATCAAAATATACTCTGTAATATTATGAAGTAGAGAGAAGGGCTGGCAGAAAGCAGGTTACAAAAGCAGAGATGAGGGTGGCCCTACGAGAGGCCCAGGAGACAGAAAATGTTGTAGATTTGTCAGTGCTAAACAGAAGAGCTGAATTCATTTTCCAATTCAATAGCACCCTCAATTCAAACCAACAAAAAAAGCATTTCGYATTTCACCCTTTTCTGCTGCAAGTCTGATTTTGAAATGGCACTGTGTCTCATATCACTCTTAATCAAAATGTCATAGAAAGGTACAACTCTTGATCTACATTACAATACCCTACTTATGACTTTGGGACTGGCAATAAAATGGAGTAAAAAGGTCAAGACCAAAAAAAAAAAGGTATAATTAWTCCACTGGCATACACAGAATAACTCTGCCTCTAACCCAGACTTTTCAATTTCCTCCAAAAAAAAGCAAAGCAAATAAAAAACCCACCTACACACCRATTTGTAGAGCACAAAAGGAGAACACCACCAAGGGTTTCTCCACAGCTTCTGTAGGAGTTTGACAATCCCATTGTAATATTTGTTTCACAAAAGTACAGGTAATTTGGTCTGAACTCTCTAGTCACAGGACCAGCATRTTCAGCCTTGTGAAAAGACAGTTTATGTGACAGCTTGGGGGGAACAAAGGCCAATGTCTGCTCTCCCTTTGCAGAATGATAATGTGCAGCTGCAGCACAGGGTAGCCACAGCTGGAAAGCTGTGTTTTGCAGCATGTAAGATTCTAACACCTACTTTCCAATATTCTCAAATAAAGAAAGGCAAGAAGATGGCATTAGAAACCACAGAACGGTCAAGTACTGAGGCATCCATACTTTACAGGTTTTTTACAGCTTTGTTTTCTCTGGCTGGCAGCTCACAACAAGGAACAGGAGTCATTTTGTCAAGGCATTGTGCTCTATTTATTTAAACTTTCGTACCTTTACTTTCAGGAGAAAAACGAGTTTACTAGACATGGTCTTAAAAAAAAAAAAAAAAAAACAACAAAAAGGCAGCAATATCCAAAAATTTAAGCTAATCACTCTGTCTCTTGCAGACTTAAAATTGTACAGTGTGTCTGCAGTGAGTGTACAGCAGGGTTGATCAGTGTGGCACTATCTTCTGCCTTATCAGAATGCAGTGCAGCTGCACAATAGAGGATGTCTCAGAATAGCAGTTCCCCTCATTCCTGTCATCAGAAAAATAGTAACCATTGTTTGTCACAAGAAACCTAAATGCGCTTGGCAATATTATAGAAAGGCTGAGAGATTCACTTAAGATCCGAGGACAGCTGCAGAGCTACATAGTTTAACAACAAATGCTCTAGAGTGAAAATGCAACAAATATTTTGATGACCCTGAGTGAACTCCAATACTTGGGAACGCAGTTCATAAAAAAAAAAAAAAAAAAAAAAAAAAAAAAAAAGGCAGATACTGTCCTAGTCTCCTGGTGTATCTGAAGTGACAATACATGTTGGATTGATGATCCATCTGCTTATCTGACTAAGAATACAACATGCGCGAGAAATATTGCTGAAGATACTGACACTATCAATCTCCAGAGGCAAGTACAGTGACATCTTCCTGCATGTCACTAGAGCAGGCAGAAAAAGAAACAAATCATCCTTTGTGAGAAAGAGAAGAATATTCCAGAAGAAAGTGGAGGAAAAAAGGAAGTGAAAAGAATGGGAATGGAAGACAAAGTCATCTCAATTTTCCTAGTGAAATGGAGAAAACTTAGAAGAAGAAAAAAAAAGAAAGAAATATGTTTTAAATATGCTTTCTAACTCAACRTTCTCAGGCCCAAGACCCCAACAGTTTTCCACACAGTAACTGAGCTGCTCCATCTGTTCAGAAGAATTGCAAAAATTTCATTAGAACTGTCCCATTTGACAGCTTTGAGTTTCTCTTCAGCATCTTTTATCTTTCTACCCTTTTTCCARAGACTAATGCAGCCTTATAGTCAGCCAGTTAAAATTTARGAAATACTATTTTCATAGAGGCGCCAGTCCACTATGAAATTTCAAAGAGCTTTTGATTTTGATGAAGTCTATGGATAGTTTTTGTGTGTTCTAATTAATGGCAAATTGATGRAAAAATATTGATACTGAAAGCAAGAGCTCCAGTTTCATAATTCAACATACTTTTCTCATTGAAAAGACTTACCTACAGCAAGTCTTCTGATCTCTTTCCATTCCCATTGCTAGTTAAAAGTGAATTTCAATTTCATYAATAAAATATCTTTTTCCCCAAGACAAGCATCACCCTGATTTGCCTTATATGAGGCAATAAGGACAATCTTTTCAACAGCATACTTGAAAATTGTCAAAAGCGGTACAGTGTGAAAGGACATTATAGCAATTCATTTCAAGAGGTAAGAAGGAGCTCTCAGTTGTACTAAACCCAAGCAAAAGCAATGAGAATAAAGCATTTCCTGCAGCTGTCCTGGAAAAGAATCAGGGAGGTAGACATCTCYATGATATTGTTAATGATGAGGAAGAGATTACATTGTGGATGGCTACCATCATCACCTTAATCAATTATATTCTGTACTACACTGAGATTTCATTAGCTACATTGGTACATCTTAACTAACACATAAAAATTCTGCTAATTGCCTAGAACTGATTCTAAATTACCTAAAATAGTGCTTCACTCTCACAAGTCACAGAACGTTGATACTGGTGACAAACAGTAGTTTTCTGTTTATATGTAGGCAATATTCACATAGGTATGGATAACAGCAAGGACAGATTGATGTAGCTCTGTGGTTTTAAAGAAGTATGTACCACCCAACACCAATTCCTAGCATTTTAAGAACATATAAATCCAAAACTGACTTCACCAATGTTTTGAGATTATTGGTCCATCCAGTTTTGTGTTTAAAAAACACAAAATTCAACATTTTTTGTGTTTAAAAAACCCTGAAATTCATGACCAGTGTTTTCTGAGTAAGACTATCTTGTTGGAGAGCAATGAAAGTTACTCAGGGCATGGCAGTGAAAAAGGAATAGCTGAGCCCTTCTTGAGCACTTTAAGCACTGAAGAACTACAGYCATTAATCTGAGCTTTTACAAAGGATTAGCCAATCTCTCTTTCCCTTTGGTGAAAATRCTTCTCTCTTCAAATCAAGTCAACACATATTTCTTTTTTCTGTCTCTACCTTCCTTGGAAATGTTCCAGTTTTGTTGCATTAAGGCTGAAAGATACTCTTTCATCAGCATTTCACTGCAGTTAATCTTTGGGTTTAGTTTTGTTTTTTTTTTTTTAATCTGTACAGGCAAATATTTAATTACAATTTTTCATTCTAACAAGCCAGCTGCAATGTCTTAAATGTATTAAGACTGCTAAATCCCATTGAAGCAATATGGCAAAAGAAACCCCTCCCCCCAAAAAAAAAATAAAGAAGCCACTATTACTTTTGTTGATGGGAAATTACAATGCTACGAGTACCGCTGAAATGTGATGATATCTTCTAAAGATTATTTTTCCCACATAAAGTGTGAAAGAGAAAGCAAAAAGTGAAGGGGATTAATTTGCTCGCTTGTAATAAACTAAACTTAATTCTAAAGTATAACAATTTTCAAATGGATCCCAAAGGAAAGGGGAAGACAGGCGAAAAAACTTCCTTAACCAGTCTTTCATAGGGAGATAGGTTAATTCATAAATGGGAATTGCTTTTTGTTTTCTTGCAGAATTCAGCACTTCAGAAACTACCTGAGGTGCCTTGAACATTAACTGGCAGAGCAATGTGTGCCGTACTTCTTCCAGCTAACATCTCAGCATTCAGTTCCCACTGATGCATCCTAACCACAGCGTGAAGGAACGGTGTTCACATGCAAATGTGTGTTTCATCCTACCCATAGGTATTTATGTGCTTTAGGAAAAGTGGAATGAGCTCCCAAGTGAGAACCTGATACTTGTACCCTTCCCTTCTCTTACTGGTGCAAAAACAGCATTTTTAATGGGAAACTGGATTCAGCTGCCTATTCTGGTATGGAGAGGATCAAAGTGAAGCAACATTTTTCTGTCAAAGTGTCTTAAATGTGCATTTGATCTTTTTTTCTTCTTAAAGATTTATATTCCAGCTAGTTAATAAGAAAGTACCCAAATCTGTATGTGTGTCTATTTGCACATAAAGACTTCACTGGCACATACACAGAACAAGTAAGAACCAATTTTCCAAGAATTTGACACGCCCTTCCTTCCCGATGCAGAGAAATCTTCTGCTTTCCAGAACATGTCTCAGGGTACAACAGGAGCTGATGCTATGATCCATACTTGTGTTTTCACCCCTCAAGTACCTTGGATTCAGCTCTACAAGTATTTCCAACACAACATTGTCTAGCTCTGGTTTGGAAGTGGAATAGGATTACTCTACCAGACCTTACACTGCAAGAAGGCTGCCAGAACCCTGAAGCTAGAATGGAGTTCGTAAAGTGACTACATGCTAGASCAGCTAAAACATTTCAGTCCCCTTCATTTCTTTCCTCTTTCTTCCTGARAAATTTCTACAATTCAGTCCAAGTAGCCTAATCATTACCTGGGGCTATATCTATGTACTGGGCCTAATTAGTTAAAAACACAGCATTGAAATCTTCCCAAGCCTGCAATTAATCTCAGTCAATAGCTTCATTCTGTTTGTTTTYCAGCTTGGAATAAAGTGATGGATGGCAATCCTGAAATCTAATCCCCTTTAATCCCATGGACTCTAGTGTCAGGAAATGAGGTGGCACACTTCTCATTGCTGTCCTGCCATGTCTCACCCCTGATTCAGAGCAATCAGCTCCTAGAGAGTGCTGATTAGCAGTTATGCTCTTTGGTCYTCATCAGTTCTTACTAACAGAAGTTAGTAAAAATTACATGGATAGATCACCCCAGCAGCTGAATAGAAAATATCAGTTGATTTGACAGAGATTTATAAAAGTAATTTACAAACCATGGCCACAAAATAGTGATRAAAACCTCAGGGGCTCCATATCTTCATGATGTTCAGTCATTTATAACCTATGGAATATAAGGTAAAACTCACCCCTAATGGAGGACAGTGGGTACAAGTTTGAGCAGGTGTGAGTTTGAAATGAAGCTTGAAATAATTAACCTCTTACTGATTGTTTTATTAATGTCAAGGAATGCCACAWAGATACAAGCAGGGATTTTTACTACATTGCTGAGTCATGTTGAGATAGGAGCTCTGCTGTTTGCTTGCTGTACCTTTAAATTAATCATGGTTTTTGGGAAGTCTAAATGACCCTGCTGATGAGGCATAACTGTCAGAGTGAGAAAAGGTTCAGCACCTTTATCTGCATGTGCTCTGACTCCTATCCCCCTCCCACTCTGGTGCTCTGTAAAAGGGGATGTGAGATGAGCTCTGCCTGCTGTAGGCAGACACAGCACTGCTGCAGTCCCGAYGGATGACAGCTATTCCGAGGACTTTGATGAGCTCGGTGTTTAAGTGTGGCAGGCCCAGGTGACAAAATCCTCAATTTTGAATGCAAATCATGTACAGAAGTTAACTAGCAAGGGCACCAGCTGCAAAATTTGACCACTTGTGAKTACAATGACTTGGATCATTTTCACCCTGCCCTCTTATTCACCCTTTATTAATTGATTAAGTGGTGAAATTCAAAATAATATAATCCAGCCTTTGTACTGCAGTATAGTAAAACTGACTTGCAGCTGTTTTCTAATTATTCCCACTTTCATATTACAGCAATGACAGCCTATTAGAATACTAAAAAAAAAATAAAAAAGGTCAGGAGGACTTACAGAGTTGTCTTTCACCAGAAGAGCACAGCACTGGATGCCTGCCAACAGCATTTTATGGGGATTCCAGGCAACAGAATCAGCCCTGCAAAAATTACACATGGAGAAAGGGAGGTGAAAATTGCATCTAAAACCATGGGTACCTAAGAATCAAAAAATGACCAAACACAATCCAAGCAGRTAGGTCAGATTTCCCATACATCCACCCTCACCATGGGTCAGAAGTCTCTTCAACTAACAGTAATTTCTATTTTGTAAAATGCAGCACTTATGGAAGCCACACAACTTCCACCTCAATCCCTGGTAAGTGAGCCTATAGACTAAACTGACTTACCTGTGGATACCATGAAGAAGTCTGCAATGCTTCCTTGATATCAAAGCTGARCCACCCCAAGAAGCCTGTTGGAACATTTATAGAGCCAAGACAATATTATTTGTATGAAATTATCTTGATAATACTTCAACTAGTAATTTCTAAGGATGTCTTATCACATTGAAAACTTAGTTTACTACATAGTCAATGGAGTAAATTTTGCCTTTGGTTTCATCTACTGAAATAAAAAGGGCAGCCTGGGGCTATCATTGAAATAGAGGAGGCTGTGGTCTGTGCCACCACAAAAGCCACAAACTGGAGTGGCCCTTCTGTGTAAGCAAAGGCAATGACCTGAAATATCCTTGTGTAACCAGGCTCATTCCTGATTCCCAACAGAGTTCCTTCCTTTCCTCCAGCCTTAAGCAGTGCCAGCAGAGAAAGCCCCATTTTGCACATCTTCTTCCTGCTGGTCAATTCCTTTCTGAGAAATTCACAGGGAAAATGCAGACAATGATAATCTCTGCCAGTTGCAAAGTCCAGGCTCCAAATTTGCAGCTATGAAAAGCAACTTCTGTCACTGGGCAACAGCAGCATTTCTATTATCAGCAACCCAACTGACCTTAAAACGACTAAAGACTCCCTCAGGCCATCTAAGAACAAAGTGTGTGCTCTAAGAGTCATTCAGGCCTTCTTTGTAGTGRGGAGCTCTCCACTGAAACTGCTCATTTAGTTCCATCTACTCTAGACACCTATCACTGGGTGACACCTTTGGGACATGTGTCTCTCCATGGACTACAGAAGGAACCCAGACAAAAAGCTTTTAGTACACAATTTTAATTCCTAGACAGCTTGAATCAGGGAATGAGATTTTTCTTCACAAATTCTGAAAGGATCATCAGGTGTTGTGAAACCTCAGTTCCCAGACAACAACATTTATCCACAACTTAAAGGTGAGGAGATCATGCAAACATTAGAAATGTCCTACAGAGCATTTGAGAAATTACTGCTAAATAAATAAATAAAWACAATTATTTTCAATATTCATGCAGGCAGAATGCTCTTAAGCAAACTACCTGTGAGGGAGGCAAGGCTCTTCAGAGAYACACAGAGTCCATGTGTGGGCTCAGCTTATTTTAAAATAATACTTGTAAAGAGAAAATCATTGATGTAAAGATTCCTGACATAAACATAGAGAATATATGCTTGTTTGGGTTTTGTTCTTTTTTTCTTTCCTTGAAACAAAAAGATGTGATAGCTGATACATGAATTTACCATCAGTATTTGCTTCACAAGCCATACATTAGGAATAAGATCCTCTGTCTCTGGGAGATAGGAAARGCAAAGGCTCACAAGGGAAATGAAAGGTTATTAACTTGTCTTAAAAAGCCATTCTCATTAATCCCACACAGTAATGGATCATATCATATTTTACATTGTCATGCTCAACAGCATCCTTGCTGAGACAGGGGCTGCTGCTCAAGCTGCAGGTGGGACCTAAGGCGAGAAAATGTTTGGCTCAAACTTCATGGTAATCCTGAAGAACCATGACTTGAAACTTTGTTTCTCCAGCTTGTTCAAATTTGCCATGTTATGGAACGACAATCAAACTGAACTTACTATTCAGAGATAAATTTTACTCTTTGCATTCTATGATTCAATAAAGTCCAGTCACTACGTTATTCCCTGATTTTCATAATTTATAAACAATCCATTAAAATATAATACATTTTTACCAAATTTGCATTCAAATATTTCTGTGTTTGAAAAAGTTGACATTTTCACACAGTTTAGGAAAAACAGGTCTAAAAAGGCATTTAAGAGATCATCTCAACAGTGTGTCACCACCAAAGGCAAAGTTAGCCACTCTCRTCTCATTTCTCTCAACCACATCTTTTCTAGAGGTTATTGATCAACAAATCAATTATACCTGTAATTAGCATTGAAGTGAAAGATAAAGTGCAGAGAGAGACGAGCAACTGCTGCCTCCACAGCACTATTGCCACTACTTTCTGCCTTTCTTTTAAAAACTGCTACTCTAGATGTAGAAGAGAAAATTGATAGTACTGGAGGTCGCAGGCATCTCCACAACCTGTCAGTCTCCCCTTGATCCACAGTACTACAAGATGAATTTGGAATTTGTGATTCATGTTTCTTTACCCGATTCAAAGAGCAGGTGCTTAGGGAGCAATGTCTGGCAAAAAAAAAAAAAAAAAAAAAAAA